TTTTTTTTTTTGTTGGGATAGTTTGATTCAAATCAAGAGGTTTGTTTGTCATGACCATCTTACATTAATTCGCACCAAAAAGCTTGAATTGGAAACGGCATTTTCGCGATAACAGTCTTACCATGATCTTTTTTCACCTGGCCGTCAGAGAGTTTGATGTCGTTTTCTCAGGATCAACGAGGAAAGTCACTGAAAACAAACGTTTTCAAGGCAATAATATATTAATGAACGATAACAAAACCTTATGATCTCCACTTAAGACTTTGTATCTACTTCCCCAGTTTCTAATTAATCGTAAGTGATTGAGGCTCTGTGCATGTGGTACGTTGTTGTCAACTGCTACGGAAACTTGTGTTTTTCATCATGGTAAAGCTTTGACTTCGGAACTGCAGTTCACCTTGGAAGCAGAAATGATTATTTCAAAATGCTTGTCTCCGATCATCTCTCCTTCAACTATATTTGCGTCCTGAAACTCAAGAGAGTGTTGTAAAGACAACAAAACTATCTTGATTTAGTTTTCACCGAGTTAGTATTTTGCTGTTCACCCTCACGAAAGGGATTCGATTCTTCTGAATTTTGAACCACCATTCCCCCCGGACACTCGTGGTCTGTGGTCATTACAAGAAGAATTTCTTCTGAACTGAAAAGTGTAGCGTGTGCTTCCCTCATTCAGTTTCTGATCGCCCGTTCCATAGTTAAAGTTGTATCGGATAAAAAAAAAATTATACAAGGTTTATTTATCTAGTTCGGTTAGTTCGTTATGTAACGCACGTTCAGCAGGTTCAGTATATGCACGTACGTGCAGCGTGATATATGTGATATCAATACCAAAACTGATATTTGCATCATTGTTGATATCGAAATATAGTCCAATGCACACTATATAGCTTGGCACATTTAAAAACCTCTCGCTCAGAGTTTTCTTTTTACCTCAAAAAACTTGAAAAAATAATGAAGGTTAAATTGTGACTTATCTAACAAATTGGAAACCAAATGTATGGGTTTTCACGACGTTTTTACGTTTAAGTTTTTTCTAGAAGTTGCTCGGCCGTCTTTGCGGAAAAAGAAAATGCTTTCTTGCCTTACGTTCTTGGTCCTTCTATTAGATTTTGTTTTTGGCAAGTTACTATCAATAGCTAGGAAAGGAGTTTATCACGTTTCATGTTACAATCAAACGTTCGTCAGCTCACACTTTCTTAATTAACGAACAAAAGTTTGATCTGAAACATGATTGATTTGCCGAACCTTCAAATCTGATTTGAAGTAAGATGACAGATGTTCTAATGTGAAGGACAAGTATAGTGACGTCATGATGTCACGGAAATGGCCCTGGCACTCAACATCCGTCAGTCTTGACAAACTTCATTTCATAAATGAACTTCACCGGAATAATATTTGCAAAACAATGGTTGAGCCTGTTACACAGAACGTGTCTAGTTACGGCTTAGCAGAGCTAGAAAGGTGCTAGGAAAAGATGCATTAAAAACAACACGATCAAAGGCTAGCTGCCTATATCGACGTTGAAAACCGTTGCAATTTCTACGTCGTAGAAGGTTAGTGAATGCATTAATTTTCCGCAGATCCAGACAGACTTAACGTATTAAACACCGCTACAACACGAGATTTCTAGTACCTTATGGGCCGATTATTTAAGAGGTAAAAAGGTAGCCTTTTTATGTTATTCTTTTTGTTTGGAACAAATTTATGACATATAAGAACTGCGAAACTTGGTAATTCTAAATGATATATGTTACACTAATGTCTCGATCCCTTGCATAGCCTTTCAGTGCGAGATAAAGAAACAGAGGAAAATATAGCGTCAAAAACCGATGTTAGCAAAGTTAGAGCCGGAATAAAACGTAAGATCTTCCAGTCACTCTGCACTCAGAGGAAAAAGTGCGGTTAAAAAAAAAAGCCGCGAAAACTTGGAAGAAATACTCTGTTATCGGTACATCTTTGCCGGATCTTCGTAAAAATAGATGTCAAAATAATAAAAATACAAAACGCCATGCATGTCTTTGCACAGAAAATAAAAGCATTTGATCTATTTGTATTTTGACATCAAGGCAAACACAATTTTCTGTTTCCCCTTGAACAAAAAGAAACTTGGAACCGCGCTCGTTTATTTGTTAAGTATTAAAAAAGGCGTGGAGAAAGAGTTTTTATCGAGAGCGAAGTTAGAACAGAGTAAATATGTTATTTGTGAGCGGATAAAATGATGAAAACGGTTTTTATTAATCGTCGTTCAGATATTGCTTTATTAATTTTCTGTATATATTTAGTCGAAATGGTTTCCTCTCGGAGAAATATCGGCTCTTAAGTAATTCTATTCAAGCTTTGCGCATTGTTTTCTTAATTTCTCATCTGCTCGAGTGTGCATACGAGCTTTATATTTATGGCCCAATTTTGCGCCTATTTTGACATTTTCCAATATGAAATTGACTTCCAGATGCAGCGCGGAGTTTAATTACTACAACTGAGTACACTTAGAATCAGTTACACCGTCATAGTTGTTTGAAACTTTGTAGAATTTGCATAACTTTCAATGACTTG